GCACACGGAAAACCTCGCCCTATAAGCAAAAGTGTCTAACACGTACGTTAGTTCATACGGCTTCCCGTGGGGCTACGGTCTAAGGTTGGCAAGCGAGAGCCATCCAGAGATGGACTCTTATCTTCACCCTAACGAGGTTCTACTACTAACATCTCTAGGTTTAGTATGTACTGTGCTAGAGTCTTCTAATTTTCCTATATATTTATGAGAGAATTCTTCAGTTCAATGGGGAAATAATTGTTTGTAAAATTGTTCTCTCGATGTTGAAATTTTACAGTCATTTCGAAAAAAATTAGTACTTTCAAAGAGCCTACTAAGGTAGGCTTACATCAAAGAAAGTACACGACCATTACTTAGGAAAAGGCGGGCCGTGAAAAGAAAAAACTTATATATTTTTAGTGTTTTTTCGTTCTATTTTAGTATGACAAGTTAGTTAGTTTGTTCTGCTAAAGGGAGAACCTTTCCAACTCTTTAAATGCTTAATTGATACTTCCCTCCTCTGTTGTCTTTCGCTCCTCTCTATATAAGAATTTAAAAGATCCTGCTACTAGGTTAGCTAAAGAGTTGATTGTATTTCATGTTAAGATCTTAATTTTTATTATAATTACAAACTTCTTTGAATGTTGAGATAGGGAAAAGAGCTTGGCTTTGAAAAGTCATCATCATTACTAATTTTAATTCATACTTGGTTCTTTCCTTTATCTTACTTTTGATAGCATTACTTTTTTTTAAACAAATATATTTAATGGATGAATTATTTACTCATCGTTAACCCTGGAAGCCGAATACTGCCAATGGTATTGAAACTATGAGTCACCCGATTTTGGGCCTATATTTTTACATACAATAATAAGTGTGGAAGTTTATTACTTCACGTTTTTCATCAAAAAGAATATTACTACCAGTATATGGTCAAAGTTGGCAAAAAAATAATTTTAACTGAGACTATGTACCCACGACTAATTTAGACGAGCTTATATGATATCATCTTCATAATCATTAACAGAAACAATCAGTTTGCAAAATATATCAACGACTTCTTTAAAAATTAATCAATCTCAAATGAGTCGTTTTAAAAAACTTGAAAAGAATTTTAAGTATCCTTTTTGTAAGCGTGCATGGAATCCTCAAAAAAAAGCAAGAATTACAATTGTAAATAATCTATCAGAATTTTGTTTGTAAAGAAGTTGTACATGTAACCACCAAACCACAAGTGGCCACCGAAGGGAATCGAATCCGTGATCCCAAGATTGTGCAACAGACCTCCGACCACTGGACTACGGTGACAACTCACATCCCCGAGTCGATAAATTACATATACAACTTTTGTTATCGTCTTAACCTAAATATTGTTCTAACATTATAGCCCAACGTAGGAAAGAAGAACAATTCCTACGTTTTAACTACGTTACACCCAGAAGGGACCGATTGAGCACATCTGGTAGTTGAACTCTCTACTCTTCAGTGTGTAGATGCCCTTGAACTATGCGTGTACTCATATCTTAAAAAAGCTGGCTTTATAACTATTATCTTTAAAAAAAATGCGAATATTTAAATAGCAAACACACCTAATGGTACAATATCGCGTTTTTATACAGCCGGGAAAATCTATAACAATAAGTAGAAAATAATAGGAGATTGTAGTTTATAACTTTATGCGTTCACACCTTTATCCATCTGCTAAAGTTATAAATGTCTCGAAAGTTGCTGTATAGCCACCGACTCTGTCTTTCTCGATGTTGAGAAGGCTTTTGATCGAGTATGACATAATGGACTGTTAAGCAAGTAACATGCTCGGGCTTTACCGCGTGGCCTTCGAGAAGTTCTTAAATCGTACCTAAATGGTCGGGATCTTCAACTTGCGTGTAGGCGCTGCACTCATTATCTCACAGTCCCGCAAGGCTCTTTTCTATCATCGCTGCTATACGAGCGACATTCCTCTTCCAGTCCACTTTCAAACGCGGGCCGCCATTTATGCCGATGATACCCCCATTAACTCAACCCGAACCTAACCCTCCCGTTTTGCTATGTTACCACCTGCAATATTATCTCGACGCGCTTGCTAGCTGATGTCGTTAATGAGACCTCTCCATTAACGCTGCAAAGAGCAAGGCGCTTGTTATAAAGAAGAAATTCCATGCGCTGCCGATTCCGGTAACTTTTAAAGGCATGGAAATTCCGTGGTGTACTCAGGTAAAGTACATGGGGTCATTATTTTAGATTCTAAGCTGTCGTGGAGAAGGTCAAGGCAGTGACCCAGATGCTATACCTTCTATTATGCAGCAAAAGTAAACTTCTTAGCGCAATAAGGGAAGGCTTTATTGCCCGTGCATTCGGCCGATTATGACCTACGCATCTCCTGCTTGGGTTTACTACTTATCGGCAGTAAATTGCTGCGCCTTTTAACACACGTGCCGAGATTTGTGCAAAATGATACACTTCACCACGAACTACAGCTTAAGCTGCTAACTACACATTCCTATAAATGAAGCCGTCGCCCTCTACTAACGTAGAGGTGGACACGATGATCGCCTTTTAGCTGAAAAACTTACTTACAAGTTGTGGGACGGCGCACAATACCGCCGACCGCGCGACGGACTCTTAGTATGACGGTTGAAAGCTAAATTGGGGTCAAAACTGAATTTACTTATACTCGTGGGCGACTAACCGTTTGAGAGCTCGTGTATTCGAAGATGTTAACTAGATCGAGCATTAGGAACCGCTATTTATAAATAAGTAAATTAAGGTCGCGGTGAACGAGAGTATAAAACATTTCCTCAACCGCACAGCAGTACGCGAGCTCCCCTCGAACAAAATTTGCTAATATTAACTGCGGATTCTACAAAATCTGACGAACCAATTATCATAATTGAATATGGTCATTTTTCAGTACAAATTGAATCGGTTTTTAGACAAAAACACACAGAAAATTTGTTTAAGGCAATTTGTTACGCTACGTTATTTACTAATATAGGCTTGTTTATATGAAAGATTTCTAATATACGTTTAGAACTATTTACCTTACGGTTTTTCATAAAAGTAGCATCCTAAATAGATTTAGTATCTATCTAAACATTTCTCCATATTTGTAATATAATTTTTTTATAACATTTTTGGTAGGCAAAGAGCTTTAGAATTCGTTAGTGGCAACAAGATAAACAAAAATTTGCCTAAAAGCCTTTATGTAATAAAATTCCAAAAAAACCAGAAATAATAACAATTTTAACTACAAATGATATTATAATATTTTAGTTTCATAATAAAGTAAATAATTAACAAATGCTGCATTAATACTCTTTTAACGATATAGAAAAAGATTGGGATCGCTATAGCCAGAATAACTTTCGCAAAGATCAGCGTTGTATTGCCAAGTGGCCAGGTCGATTGAGTCAGCGTGAAAGGCAGAGTGATAGTCTCTTTTAAGCAAATAAGAATCGGTTTTGGAGTCCGGCCCCATGAAACCCTTAATGTTCCCAGCATTCATCCCGCAGAGCTGAGAGGCAAAGCATTGCATGACCGTTTCGTCCTTGACCGAGAGCTCAAATTCTTCCATAGTGATTGGCAAATCATACAAGGGGCTGCCGGGGGGAGCACTTGTCTCGGTGTCACAACTGGGGCTGGCAATGGTTTTCGGGCTAGAAACCTCTCCACCATCCTCAGCTTCGTGGGCTTTGCTAATGCGCGGTCTGATAGTGAAGTCGCTACTGTTCAAGACTTTTCCTTTCTGATGAAATGCAAAGGCATACGCTGGCGGCGCTTCTTTTCCGGTATACTCTGCCAAAAAATAAAAATTATATTTAATTATGCGAGCTAGTTACCAATATCTTAGCTATTGTTTATTTTAACACACTTGTTTTTTTTATTAAGTATATTATTAGCTAATTACAATTATAACTTTATAAAGTTACAACTCTAGTAACAAGATTAGAGATAGAATTTAGTAATAGATATACGATTTAAACTATTGTTTGCATATATAAGAAACGCGATTTACGACTTGCTATTTATTAAAAGTTCTTATATAATTTTTTTGTTTTTTGACGAATTTTAGAATACTATGGAAAGTGTTTCGTAGTGAAAACTCAACTTGTTAGTTATCCACATAAAGTCCACCTTGTGGAAGTTTTTAAGTTCGTATTGCTATGATGCTCTATTTTACTTGCCATATCTATAATACAACCATTTCTACTGTCTTGTTAGTTGCTCGCTAGACTGCTATCCATATAGTAAAGTTTGGACGCCTCTTCACGTTTTGCTTTATATGCAGATCGCTGTTAACATCAGTATTTAAGTTTCAGTCGACGTTAAACATCTTCCACACCTTAGTAGTTTCCTTTGTAGGCAATTACAGGCTCAATTATTACTTTCTAAAATTAAATCCTTTTCTTTAGCAATTTCAATTGTTGAACGACAGCTTTATAAAATTATTTATTCTTTTTAATCAAAGCTATATTTCAAGCTTAATTATTGTCATTCTTCCCGCTACTACTACAATACTGCAAGCAACTACACAACTGGCTAACTACCTGAAAACAGCTTTGCAGGGTTTCTTTAACCATCTATGCGGTATGTTAGACAGTTTAGATCTGGAAAGTAGTGGATCTAAAAATATTTCGAAGTTGAGTACATCCAAGCTTTAGAAAAAGGTTGCCTTTGTTTGCCTCCTCTAAAGTTGTAACCCTCTTGTTACAAATAGTTAAAACAACTTTGTTCCCTGCAGCCTCTAACTTTTGAAATAAATTTTTGTTTCGACAAAATTCTTGTTTTGACTGGCATTAATCTTAGCTACTATAAACAACGCCTACTTCTTCGTTTCGTAGTAAAAAATTTAAATTGCAGTCAGGTACATAAATTTTTTACTAATAGTTCAAGATTATTTTTAATTATTAATTTTTTCCTGATCAAAAGTGTATTATGATAAACACAGTAAGTACGAGTACGGAGAGCAGTCCAAGTCTTTGTTAGGGGGCTGTATCGCATCGGGCACAACGCTTCAAACTTTATAAAAACTGAAAACATCTTTTTTTCTTCAAGTCCTTTAAAAGTAAGCTAAAAATTGTAATTAAAAAATTTATAAAATAATAAATCATAATAAACTTAATAAATTTGATGCAATAAGAACTTTTTAAAAGTTGAGTTATTAATGTTTTATACAAGTCTCTTGTAAAATTAATTTACCCTTAAAAATTTAAAAACAGTTAAAAGAAAAAATAGTTTACATAATATATATATAAATCTCAGTAAAATAATTTAAACGTTAATTTATCTTTAACCTGAAGACTGGGAGAAAGTGGGCAGGAAACAAGTACTTCAATTTGTTCTAAAGTTTGCCAGACAGCAGCATTTTTGAGAATAACAGTGTACCCGTTATTATGGACGCGGAGTGCTTCAGTAAAGAGTTTATAATTAATTTTTTTTTATAAAAAAAATTTTAATTACTGTGTAACTCACTAATAAAATTTATATTGCTTTAAATGTGTAACTATGTCATGGAGTTTTATAATTTTAAGTTTTTTTTTTAAATTATTTTTATGTAAATTTCATGGACTGCTTTAAGATTGTATGGAACAGGCTGCGCTCAACGCAATTTATCGTTTTTAAAAATTACAACACGCTGAAGAAATAAATATAAAAGCTTAAAATGAAAAATAGAAAAAAGGCACACTTTAGGCATCGCTTCTCTTAATTCACACAATTTCCAATCGTGTGGCTCTTATAGAACTTAAAAATATTAAAAGCAATAAAAAACTTTAAAAATATTAATTAAAATAGAATTCGCCAAACTGCGATTAAGCTTAACTAAGACTATTATTAAAAAATATTAATAAAGCGTTTAGAATGAGCATAAAAACATTTGAATTGCCAAGGAACTAGTTTTATGTTGTATAAATAAAATTGAAAAACGATTAGATTTTACGTATTGGAAATGGAAAATTTATAAAGGCTGGCATACAAGAAAAATTTAGCTTTTTTTAGTTTAAAAGATCAAAGAGACTATGAATAATTTTAGTAACGAGAAGGAATTAGAGTTTAATTATCAGAACGAACTTTTGTCTACTTAAAAATCTTCACATGTTATGAATCGTTAAACTTTAATTAATAGTATTATATATAAATATAAAAGTGAACGGCTTTATTATAACAATGCATAAAGTGGTGCAAAATTTATTTTAAAAAAAGCTCAAGGCTTAAGCACTATTTAATAGATCTACTTTTCGCCTTTGTTCAAATAACGTTGCTTTCTTACTAAGAGCTTGCAAAATTAATTTAATAAAAAACGAAATTAATTACGATTCTTGCTTAAGATATTGAATTTGATATCCAAGAAACCTACCCAACGCGCAAGGCGCAAGGAGGGAAGGGCAGCAAAAGCAACGAGGCGTAGGTATTTAGCGAAAAGTATATATACTACTTCAAAAACGAATTTTTAAGAGTGGAATTTTCGCGGTTTTTTGTTATAAGCTAGTTGGTTGGGTGTCATAATACACCAATTAATTCTCATTGGGTTAATTGAACTCGTGTATTGCGGTGTATTTTTTTACTGAACCGATTTAAATTTGTTTAATATATTAATAAAAGTGACTGTTTTATTATTATTATAATTATTATTATTATTATTATTATTATATTTATTTCTGCTATTATCATCATTACTATTGTTATAACCTTGCTCAGCATGGTCTTTTCCCGCTAAACTTTCCGTAATTCTCTTCATAATTTTCTTATTTTTTCGTCTGCACACGTTTATAAACTCGCACCCGACCAACTTGAACTCAATATAATTCATTTTTAGAAAGTTTGGGTTCAGCGGCTCGGAGCTCACGCAGATGCTCATGCCGTACTTGAAATTGGCCTTCAGCTGCACCGTTGGGCTTATATCATTCTGGCAGTTCCGGTCGAATCCAGCATGCGCTAATTATTATTATTATTATCGTCATCATCATTACTATTACTATTTTTTTTTTTATAATCGTAAAAATAATTTACTAAAAGCCACCAAGATTATAAATTGGAACATTAAACTATGTAAACGAACTAAACTTAAAATGATTGGTGCTTAAAAAACTTTTTATTCAAATTAATTTTAACTTGGAACTTTTGTTAATTACTTATTATTTTGATACAAATTAGTTATTAGAAAGTGCGCGTAATTATATATTATTTTTTTTGTAACTTTTATATAAGAACTGTACATATATTACTAACTCTTTAAATATTCTATACTGATGGTCATACCCCTTTTACGATCAGGCCTCTCAAATATTATTCTTTTACGAGAAACAGCCAAGAAGTCAGTCTTTGGACCGAGCGCAAATTGATTTTTTGTGTTGTGCACAATTTCTTTTTCAGAAAATATCTTATAAAAAAAAATAAAAACTATAAACTTTATTATTACTATTATCACACACATACATAAATAGTATTAAAAAAAATGGTTTATTATTAAAAGTACTAGGCTTCTCTTCATTATAAATAATGAATAGAACCTTTTCTGTTACTACTATACTAATACTATATCTATAGTTTCTTATCAGTGGTAAAGCCTTTTCTTTTTCTCCTTTACCATCCTGACCTGCAAGTAAATAATAATAATACTAGTAATTATAAGTATAATAATAAAAGTTCCATATAGTTTAGGCTTCAATTTCCAGCGGCAAGAGTTCAGTACTTTGCCCTTTTCCACCGTCTCGCACGTAAACACTGGGCACGGACCTTTTCCTGAACAAGTCATGTGGCGGGTCGGCTCCTCACAGTAAACATAGTCTCCAACTTTCGAGCTAAACACCATTGGATAAGACGGCGTGAAAAGAACCTATCAGAAATACAGCAATATTATTTATCGAAATGATTTGCCAACAGTTAAAGTTTTTATAATATAAATTTGGGATTTTAAAACCATAAATATAATTACTACCCAAACGCTGTAATATATTTCTTCTTCAAGACCACTGAGACCAATATCTAAGCAAGGAGCTAATGCTTGCCCTAACAATTATTATTATTATTATTATTATTATTATTATTATTATTATTATTATTATTATTATTATTAATAGTAATTAGACAATTAACGTGCCGTGTGGAGTGCAGGCCACTTCCCTTATTCCTTTCATGCTTTGGGGGGATACCCACTCGTCCAAATTGTATAGTTGAACTTTAATTGGAGAATCGGATTTAGTAATCACTAAGGCTATCTTTGAATCCTCTTTGATAATAATAATAATTATAATAAATAATAATAATAATAAAAGTACTCGGATTCAAGGTTTTGCTAAGTCTGCTTCTTGTACTGCTGACTATTTTTTTATTTTTTCTACTTTCTTTAGGTGTATTTTTTGTTTTAGAGCCATTAACACAGCCTTCCTTTTTAACCACTAAACGAACTTTCCTTTCGGGGGGTTCTATTTGTTCGTAAGGTAGCATCCAATAGGGTTGTGAGATCATACACGGATTAGTTTGCGGATTGGCCGGCTGTATATCCAGGTGCTGAAAACTAGGAAAGCTAGTAATTAGGTCTGAAGGTGGCCGGTCATTGTCAACGTATTGCGGGAAAGTTTGGTCTGCAGCACCCTCACTACCCCCCGGCAGCAGCATAGGTAAGTTAATGGTGTGCCCTGAAAAAGCGTCGGTGTTAGCAGTAGATTTCATATGCTGTGACTGAATGGCAGAAATCAAATTCTCTCCACTATCGGCGGCGGGCAGTAAATGTTGGTGTTGGAGGGCTGGAAAGCCGATGGCCTGGCTGGCAAGAGCGCCCCCGCTGTTAGGAGCCAATAAACTTTGATCCAAAAATGCAGACGAGTCAATGTTTGGACCAGAAAAGGTATCGCTGCTGTCATTAGATAGTAGTGTTTCGGAATCGTAACCCGTCAAGTCGATGGCTGGTCCCATAATTAAGTTGCCATCGCTCATTGGCTGAAGGTTGGATAAGTTAATAGCCTGGCCCGTAAAGGCATCGCTACTGTTTGCTAACTGAAAGTTTCTAGAATACCCAGCACTGTCGACAGTGATGCTGGGAATGAAGTTATTGTATCCCCCTTTGAGGTTGAGTAGGTTATAATTATCTATACTATTTTCCCTAAAGCAAGTAAACAATTGTTAGCAAGTTTTACACTTGCTTGCGCCACATGCTTACCCTCCGGGGTCACCAATGACCATGTTCATTTCTTGGGGATTTCGAAACCACGGCGTCAGTAGGCCACTGTTCCCTACAAAGCTTGGATGGGTGTTATAATCTATACAAGTTGAGGCTTATTTTCGAGTGTTAAGAGTTCAAAGTAAATATGTAAATTGCTAAAAAAAAAATTATAATATATTAGCGTTTCGAGAGATTACCGATACTGTACTTTTGGTCCATCTTGGATAATTCCTTGAGGCCTGAGAACACCAGTAATAAAAACGTTAACTTTTAAGAAGCAAAAAAATAGTCTTCCTGAGCAGAATACTCACCAGGAGGCGATAATTCACTGTGAACTTCATCGTATAAATTGTCCAGATTGTGATCCATTAATAGCCAAGCCATGTTAACTCTAGTTTATAATACAAAGTAGTAGTCAATATCGGAAGTTTTATTACATCACTTCTATATAATAAATTATAGTAAAGCACCGGTAAATGTACGTGGTAAGATTGGCCTGTTACTATCTAACATTTCGACTATTCGAGCTATATATGGTTTATTATTACTCTGCATAATGAAGGTTTTTTTTATACAGCAGATGAATGTCTATAATTAAAGTACTATTAAATTTAGTATTTTGTATAACCTAAAGAAGAACTGGAGCTAGTTAATACTAGTAGATATATAGCTTAATAAAAAATCTTCTAAGGGTTGTTTAGTAAATAATACCGTTACCCATCAATGTAATTATTCGACTCAAGTAGAAATGAAGGTTAACTTAGCTTGTGAGAAAAACTAAGTTGAATTAGAATATTAAAGATATAGTACTGATTTGTTGGAATTTTTTTTCTCATAAAATTATTTGCGCCAACTAAATGTAATGCAAAAAAAAATAAGCAGCAATAATAAACCTTTTATAGGACTTACTGGACGCTCCTTTCAATAATGCAATAAATTACTCAAGTAATTAAGAATAATTCACTTTAACGGAGCATATATAAGTTGTTCCGCTATCTAAAATTATTATACAGTTAACTTTTCTCAGTTGAATTTTTTGAAGGATCCTTTAATTTAATTGGTTGGTTGATTTTTTAATCTCTCCGCCAGAAAAAAAATTACACTAGTTGGGTACACTTTTCTTACCTCCTTTGGAGCTTGTAGTTTTTACAGCTTCAAATTATAATAATCAAACTTTCTTAAAATATTTAATTAATTATAAAATATTGTTATAAGTAAATTATTTTTATTTTTATTATTATTATATATAAACACGTTTTGGGCTTGTTTATTAGAAAGGTCAGTTTTATCAACATTAAGATTCGGTATTCTGAGAAATGTATACATTGTTGTTTCATTTAATTTCCATTAATTGTTTTAACAAATGAATTAATCTATAAATTTTTTTTATTTATAACACTAAAATAAGTTTGTAGATGTATTATTTACGTTATTTGGTTTGCTTTGTAACACTTTCGTTAACGGCTAATTTTGTTTAATTCTGGGCCCTCTTCACTGATTAAAACATAGTGCTAGCTAGAATTATTGTGATAGGATAGGAATTATAGAATTTTAATAGAATTTTAAGTACAATTATAACTTATTTAATGCCTTGCAGCTAATAGTAATTTTTACACTAACGGTAATACAAGCCTTTGATGATTATATGGGAAGATTTACAATGAGTTTTACTAAGAATATATAACTTGTTGTTTAAAAGTTTGTGTGAACAAAGATAAAAAGAATATTTTTAGCTATTTTATAAGAGCGCAGTTTTTAACAAAGCGTTGCAAAGCATCTTGACTAAAAAGTTTATAACAAAGGAATTATTTTACTCTAATGTTTATTCTCTCAGAACTTGGCTCTTTATAATAATCAATTGCAAATTTCTTTTATTTATTTTAATAGTGTAGAGATTATATAATTAGTTTTAGATAAACTATTATTTAAAGCGATGAATGATGAAAGAAAAACTGGTTTGTCGCAATACTATTGCGGGATAGCAGTAAAAAGGTTTGTATATAATAGCTTAAACTAAGAATGTTAATATTAAAAACAAAAACTAAAAGATATCCTAATAAATAATTTTATAATATTTTGCTTTAGATATTTAAAAAAAAAAGCATAGTTATTATTGTTTGAAAGAGTGAAGCTGATTTTTATACACAGTAGAATAGTTTATAAATTTAGTGATAATGAAATTTTCTAATTAGCTACACTTGTATTTATT